TCACGGTCTTGCTCTGCGCACCTCATCTCGTTGAGACAAAGACTCATGACGCATTGCCCATATAGTCGTATATCACTACTATTGAAATGCTCCGCCACTCCAAAACGTAGAAATGACCCTGTGATGAAAGACTGGCTGAACCCAATCCTCTCAAACGTTTCCTAGCTATCCGAGTGGGTGCTGATCGTCAGATTAGGTTGTATCGGTTTGTTATATCTTCTCAAGGGGCGCTGAGGTCCTACTGCAGCCCCCCAGGTGCAGCCCGGGAGGGATTGTTGTTTCTGAATGTTGAGCGAGCTGAACGTGGAACATCGATCATGGATATCTGAATGGTCATGCCATTCAGAGCTAACTGGGTTCCCGCGACTAACGAGGCGCATGCATCGAAAATGTCGCTACAACAGAATTCACACGTCAACCACGAACTGACTTGTTTCGCCGCTATCTCGGAAAATACAGCTAATCGTACACGGCGCAAGCTGGGACAAGCATACCACAAAACGTCGGCTACACTGTCGAACTTCCCTCGCTCAGAAGCGCAACTCCCGCGGGCCAAGCCTCTTGTCGACCAAGTTCCTCCACTCCATCCTCGTCCGGGGATGCATCGCGCGCGACGTAGTGCCCGTCGTGCGGTGCGTCTCCCGCTCCACAAAGTCCTGCTGGTTCAGGCCGTCCCACTCGACGCGCACGCCGTCCTTCAGCCTCATCGTCCCGGTCGCCAGCGGCGTCTCTCCGCTGTCCATCACGCTGGCCAGGCGCGGGCCGTGCGCGTCCGCCGCGTTGGGGTCCGCGTACACCCTGACGTTGAGCGTCTCGCCCGCGCGGAAGAATCGCAGGCTCGTGTCGTACTGCTGCAGGTTGGCTGCGTCGGGCTGCGCGGCGGCCTCGGGCCAGGCGACGCGCAGGAGGACGCCCTGCGCGAGCTGCGCCTCTGTCAGTGCGCCGTCGAGCGCGAGCTCGATGCCGTCCGCGGTCATCTGCGCGTTCGGCGCCTTGAGCAGCATGTGCGCGACGTGCTGCTCCGCGCGCGTGCCGTACAGGTAGAACGGCGTGAAGTCGGCGGGGTACTTGTCGTCGCGCCAGCGGGAGTTCAGGGAGCGGTTCTTGACGACGCGGACGTTCGAGATCTTGACGTTCGTCAATTCGAGTTCCCTGTGATTCGATATTGTGATTCAGCGTCTGTGTTCAATTTCGAAAATTAGATTTGTCGGTGGTCGCTTACTTTCCGACAATGGTCGCTACAAAGGAGGCTCCGTTTTGGCAGATGGTACTCATATCGACGTTTTCCTGGGTGCTGAGCACGTAGGTCTCGTCAGGGTTCTGCACCTTGACGCCCCTGTACCTTGCGAAAGACTCGACATCGACATCGACGCTGAGGATAACCTGGGATCTGCCGTTCGCGTTGTAGAACTGCGGGCGGTAGACGAGGTACATCTTGTCCGTGCCCTGAATTATGAATGAGTGCTTGCGCGGCGTGATGGTGTTGCGAGCAACAACGTGCTGCGATGCAAGGGTCAGTCGATAACTCGGGTTATCGTAATCTCTGTACTGACGTCCAGCTCCTCCACTACAGTCTGCCTGAAGATGTTCGCAAGCTCCTGCACGAAGTCGCCAGCCGTCTGGAACGGCGACATGACGACATTGCGAAGGACAAACAAATCCTGGCCAGACTCCGTCTCGAGACCGAGCCGTTTCTTGTAGTTGGTCGCGCAGGTCCCGTAGTCCTTCAGCGCGAACGTCGTCGCCGAGAGGAACATCGGCGTGTCGGCGGGCTTCTCATTCACTAGTGTGACCGAGAGTCGCTGGAAGATGAGGTTGTTCAGGTAGTTCGCTTCCTCGACATCCGTGTTGAGCTTGCCGCCGATCTTGAAGTTACACGCGAACGCGTTAATATTCAGGTCCGAGCCGAGGGAGCACAGCTCGGTCATGACTTTCGGGTTGGGATCCAGGACGATCTCCTCGTTCGAACGCCCGAGAATGTGTTTGCGGATGAATTCTTTCTCTTCATCGACAGCTTCTGGACCCTCCGACTCGCGCGCGAGCGGGTTGAAAGGCACGACGGTGAAGGTGTCCGCATTGGTCGCCATGGCGGCCCACTGAGCTGAGATCTGAAAAATGTTCGAGTTTTAGAAAACATTGATTGTGAGCAAGCGAACATATGGCTGACCCTGCGGCAGGTGAACGACACTTCGCCGAGCAGACCTCCATGGCCTTCCTTGTGCAGACCCACGACACGGTGATGCAAGTACGTTCCGACGGCGGGCGCACCAGGTTTGCTATCAGATCATATCAATGGAATATTCCCTGTCTATCGGAAATGTTGGAAAGTTACCTGCCCTCAACACCGTAAATTCCGATACTCTCGCCGTCATCAGCCTGCCTGATATAGGGTGCTGTCCATGTCAGCAAGTACCGCATCCTTCCATCGCGGTAGCACAGGCCTCCTGCGGGGTACGGAATATACCCCGCCTTGTGCGGGTCGATCGTGATAGAATCCGTCATCGCCAGGGCATGGAACTGTCGCACAGTCGAGTCGCGCAACGTCACCGTCGGCACGAAGTTCCTGTCCGGCTCCTGCTCGCCTTGCCCAGGGGAAGGAAGAGGGAGCGGGCCCTGGCCTGGTCCAGGCGGAGTAACAGGCTTGTCGCGGATCATGGACGCAAAGTACCCGCCCCAAGCGGCGTCGGCGTGTACGACGAAGGAGACGCCGCGCGCCTGGAAGTCTTGACGCATCGCGAGAATCTCGTCAAGCGGGTCAACGGCGCCCTCCTCGGTCGATCCGATGATGGCGACCACGGCGAAGATGGCGACCTTGTTCGCGATGCGCGTCTCGACCGCCTGGCGGAGCTTGTTCATGTCCACACGAGCGTTGAAATCAACAGGAACGTCGACCATGTTCTCGGAACCGAGGCCGGCGATGGCTGTGGTTGAGTATCTAGTGAGCCGACTTGCAAGGAAGACACGATTCAGATCTTACCCGCGCCCTTCGGCCAGGAGTAGTGTTTCGTGTTCGAGATGAGGTATTGTGGGCTCTTGATGCCCCATTCCTCCTCGACCGCTTGCTTACCTCTAGTCTGCACGATATACTGCTCCATGATGTTTTCCAGATACTGTGCGGTGATGCCGTATTCTTTGTACAGACGGTCGGGGATGTCCAAGATGTCTTGGACGCGGAGGTTGAGAAGTTCCCATGCATCGAGGTCTGTAAGCAAAGTGAGACGATCTGGTTCCGCGCACTTATGCACCTTGAAAGTGTTCGCGATGAAATTCAGCTCGTTCCCTGGCTTCATGGCATCTCTGAGGGAAAGCGGGTAATACTTGAGGTTCCGAGCTGGGAATTTGAGGAATGTCAGAATACGATCCGAACGGTGAATCCTCGAAATCACTCACCAGCCCTGCAATTCGAATTAAGTCAACAACGGCGAAATCGTTATTTCGGACAGATGCCACATGATTAAGTCACATACCAGATAGACTCGAGGTTAGCGACAGTTCCATCGCAGGCAATATGTCCCCAGGACGTGATATCGTCGGTGTCTTGATAACCCAGCATCTCACACAGATCGCGGCCTACATCGAGCTCGAGAAGCGTCGTGATGGGACTGGCCTCGAATGCGACGTTGTTCGGGTTAAACAGCGTAGTCGCAAGCGAACCCAATATAGCGGGCATGCTAGTGTCGAACGTCATGTGGCCTGCATAACGGGAGGACCAGAATGGGATAGAGTAGTCGCTGAGTAGTTTGGCGACACTCCAGTACTCGTTCTTCAGCTTATCGACCGTCTCCTTGAACACGACCGATCCCTGCATCTCAGTTGTGATGAATGCCTAAGTGTCAAGTCAGCGGGTTGAGAACATCGTGCACAAACGGCGTATTTGTACGCACGCCATCCTCGGGATGGTAGTCATGTCTAGCTCTAGCTTGGGTATCAGCAGCATAAGAGAATAGACTCTTCAATAACTCGAAATTCTCGGCCTGGGGGCCCAAGAACCAAGCACCGATGGCTTTGTGCAGGTCGTCATTCAGGCAAGAGGCGTAAACGCGCTTGTTGGTCATGATGGGTGTGAGTGCAGTAATGAACAGGTCGAAGTGTAGCAGTGCAGCAGTCGAGCGCGCACAACACTGCTTTTATACATGACAGTGGACCATCGGGTTCACGCGCTGTCCACCATGATTTAAGACGGAAGTGGATCCGGAGGGCATGTGAGAGCCTGGAGACCGAACTAGAGCTAGTGTGTCGGAGTGAGACGTACATCGAGAGCCGATCTCCAATGTCCGACTGGCCGTCCATAAATTGCTGGCGTCCTGAAGAGTCTGGCCATAGTCATGCGCCCTGGTGTTGTGACGCACACCATTCTTCTCGTAGCAAATCAATATCAAAGCGAAAGGATATGACTACAGAGTGACGAATGCGCAGGACAGCGTGAGCGAGGGGAAGGTTCCGAAGAGGACAGGAAGCGGAGGTGAACCGCTCCAGCACGAATTCTCTGACGACGGCTCGGAGCACAAGACACAAGAAGGATGCTCGATGCAGTAGATGACTGTGGAAGACTTCGCGAAGACGAGGCTTCCGTGCTTCGTACTGTGGGAGCACCAGGTTGTTCGGTATAAGGTCCTGCCTGATGTTGTCTGCCGCGATGCAGTATGACCTAACCTGCGACGAAGAGAAGCAGCAAGAGATCAGGTACAGGGAATTTGACCGGCCTCAATGGCACATTTGACGGGCAGCTAAGACTCTGAGTTGGGCCGGCGGCACGACCCATACGAGGGTGCACATTAATGGACAATGCGAATGCCATGCAACATGATTTACCATCTGCGACATTTTTTTTGCGTAGGCCACCCATGACCATGAACGTGGCGTACAGGAGGGCGAGACGCGGTGAAACAGCTCACGGATGTTTTCTAGCGTTAGACACCTGAATGATATTGCCGGTCCATGACAGTGCACTCGGTCGGCATGAGGCACGCAGTGGCAAAACTAATGTGGCGAAAAATAGATGCTCGGAGAGGGGGTCGAACCCTCGACCTCAGGATTACCGGCCGATGACCGTCACACTCTCGTATGAGACCTGCGCTCTAACCAACTGAGCCATCCAAGCGTTATACTATTTTCTCAGCAGGCACTGAAGGACGCATCAGCCGCAAATGAGCGACTAGCGTGGGTGGACGGAAGTGATGAACAGAGTTGACGAGTTGCTCGCCTCACACCGACTCACAGTGATACAACTATCCAGTCATCTTCCTTGCCAGCTAGCACACGTTCATCGTCTCGCGTTCTGCGTCTCTCAAGCTGTGTCCCGTGTCGCTGGCTTGTGGAACGTGAACTGGCCACATCTTCGACGCGACCTTCCATCGTTCTGACCTGTCTTCCCGACCTCTCCGCGCCGAAGCCACCACCTCCGTCTTCATGCAAAAGCGAAAACGAGACGACTACGACACCCTCCTACCACTTCGCGTTTCCAAACAACCGCGCATAAGCCTTACGCACTATTTTGGTGGCAACAGCACTCCGTCCCAGTTCGAGGGCGTGTCCGCACGCTTCGCGTCCCTAGTTCAGGACGGCTGGCGGTACCTAACTGCTACATTCGCCCACCTTGTGCAGGGTAAGCACACGCGCCGTACCCGTGCACCATCCTACAGACCAAGTCGTGTTGTGCCCATAGCTTCCAGTCCCGCACCTCCTGCCACCATGCCCCCCATAGCCACCACAAGCACCTGCCCCGCACCTCTCCCATCGCCCCCTCCATCGCCCCCCGTCGCTGCCCGAACCGTCGATCCCGCCCATCAACGGCCTAAAGCATCGCGAACGCGCCGGAAATCGACCCCCCCGGAGCAGATCCCGCTCCCACCTTCTCCGTCCTCACTACCCCGCGCGCCACCAGCACCGCCGCGGCGGCACCAGAACCATGCACCGGTAGGGCTTCCGTCCCCTCCATCCACCAGTGCTGTATCGGTTTCACCTTCGCTTTCCGGCTCGCATACACAGTATGACCAACGCCCACGTCGGACGTATGTCAACAGGGAGCACATCCATGCGAAACCGGTAAGGGCTGTTATTCTACATCAATCTGCGCACGCTCATACAGTTTGATTCAGCATCGAGCACGGGTTGCGGAAGAGAGGCGGAAGGACAGGGAGGTCATGGAGAAGGAGCTGTACGAGCTGCGGCGTTCGTGGGGTATGCCTTCCTGGTGTGCTCGCCTTCTGCTAGTCTGAATATCCCCGTGTCCTAGGCTACTCCTCTGATCTTGACTCTTTCCGGAGTACGTCGCGCCTGATTTGTCGTTCGACCGTCTACCCTCCTGTTTCCTGAGACTGACTTCTGCACCAGGCTTACTGAGTTATCGCGAGCGACTGGAGCGCCTTGAAGTCCGGGAAGCACTGTCACGTATGTGTATCGAAGCACTATGTGTGACGCATCTCACGCCGCATGGACACAGCATCGCGCTCCTTGACGGACCTACGAGCTCGGCGAGCAGCCCCGACACATCAACGGAGACATTCTGATGTATGAGTAGTTTGTCCCATTGCAGCCCCTAACTTACGAGCCACCGTTAGGATGCGAGCCCCGAGTTCCTCAGACGCGCCCTCGAGAAAGCGAAGGCATCTCTCAGAGAGTGCGTACCCTACTCTTACGAGCATGCATATATGCGCTGACGGCTTGTCTGGCTAGGCCCAAGCCCAAGATCGCCGATATTGCACAGGTGCTACAGAATCTCGAACTCGAGCGGCGCGCCAAAGATCGCGAAATCGAGCAGCGCCTTCGTGCACGTGCGGCACTGCCGGCGACGCTTCCGCCCGAGGACGAAGCAGCGGTAGACGCGTTTTTTGCAAAGCGCGGCGCCATTGCCAAGTGTGTGCGCGAGCAGGTTACAGATCGCGACATCTCGAGGTTGCGCCCGCGGCAGTGGCTGAACGACGAGATCATCAACTTCTACGGGCAGATGATCCTCCTGCGTTCTGAGTCATGCAAGGAGAACAAGAAGTCTGCCGGCGCGAACGGGAAGGTGAAGGAGGGCGGGCGGGGCCGGCCGCTGAATGTGCACTACTTCAGCACGTTCTTCTGGTCGAAGCTCAAGACTGAGGGTTACGAAAAGGCACGATTGGCGAAATGGACCAAGAAGTTTGATCTGTTCGAGAAAGACGTTGTGCTGATACCCGTCAACCACAATAATGCACACTGGACTGCTGCAGCAATCAACTTCAGGCGGAAACGGATAGAGTCGTATGATAGTATGGGGATGGAGCGTGATCAGGTCTTCAAGGTATGGCTTGTCATGTGGTCCACGGCTGGATGTCGGACGCTGATTACTTCCTCGTTGCTGCCAGCTGTTGAGAATGTACCTCGACGCAGAGCACCGGAATAAGAAAAAGAAGCCATTCAATTTTACTGGCTGGGAGGACTATACATTACCGGTAGGTGCCACCCTCCCCATGCATACACCCTGCTGAATTGTGTAATAGGATACACCGCAACAAGAGAACGGTTTTGATTGCGGCGTGTTCACCTGCCAATTCCTCGAGGCGCTATCGCGCGGAGAGGAGAGCTTCCCATTCACCCAAGCGAACATGCCGTACTTGCGCCGACGCATGGTCTGGGAAATCGGGAACTGCAAGCTGCGTGATGACCCATAGCACTAGTGCTTTACGTCCGCGCTATATCTTTTACCTTCGGCTTCTTCGGTTGCGTACATTATTCGTTGACTGTATATCATACCTGTGATGTGCATCGTGTATACGTTTGCCCTGCCGCATCTTCAACCTCGCCACTATCTTGCAGTTACGGATTGCTATTGTGTCACGTCTTCCTTGCGCGCAATTTGAATGTCTGCAGACCGGGATGTGTGTTCTGACCAGAATGTGCATTACCGCCGAAACCACCATACAATAATGAAGAACCAAAAGACGACGATAAGAAAGACGATGTACCACAGCCAGCGACAACCCTGGCGCGTGGCCATGTTGTTCATGCGTCGGAACGTGCCTTTGAGGATGCCCGACGTCTCCGAGAATGCGTCGTTCTAATCGTGGTTGAGCAGTGTGCATGAGACAATATCGCTGGGCACACACCATCTGACTAAGCTGAATCGTCGATTCGCGCACCTCGTTCCCAATGCCTACCGTGATCTGTGGGTGGGTCGCAGTGTGAGACGAGCTGGGCCAACAGAGAGGCAACAAAGCAGCGAGTGGGCCGCACTGATCTGCATGTACTTACCTCCTTCAGCATCTTGACCTTCGCAGTAAGCCCCTCGAGCGCCTCGTCGTTCTGCCCCTCAAGGTCGTCGGCGAAGCGTTGGCCGCCAGGCTGGAGTGTAGAATTGCCGAACGGCGAGGAGCGTCCAGACGAGGGAGGTGTGTAGTATTCCGGGAGCAACGTCGAGCGGTCCCGGAGGGAGCCCTGGGCGGATGCCCTAAATCTGCAACTAGTGTGAGCCCGCTGTCTGATACAACATCAAGAGTGACGCACCGCTGAGACATGGCTGGTGGTGGGCAGACCTGCTGTCCTAATGGGCATGGGAGGCGTAGACGTGGAACCGACAGCAGTGGTGGCTGTAGCAGGCTATAGCTGGCTCGATCGGGCAAATGACATAACGGGCGGTCTGTGCAGCGCTCGCCGCTTAGTGCAGCAGGTATAACGCTGTTGCTACGTTGCGGTCGGGTTGCTAGCATTGCTCATGTGCGATCTATGTATTTCAAGGTTGGATTTGATCATCCCGGACTAAAGATACATGAGGAAGACGGGGGATGTAGTATCTCTAGGGGACATTTCCAATCCAATGGCCTGAGATAGTGGGATGGGGGGCACGAAACCAAATCTTATGTGACAGGCTGTAAGGTAATGGTGCCCGACGAGGCCCAGCAACGTCGAGCAGATAGTCGGAGAGGTATGAACACGTCAATCAATAGGGTGGATGACCTCGTACGCATGTAAAGGTCAAAGGTGGGTGGATGGATACTAATGCAGGTATGCGGTAAGACCGGGTAAGTACGAAGGTCACAATGTCCAGGGTGAAGAGTGATCGTGCAGAGTGCGCTAGCGCAGACTTGAGAAGGGATGGTACAAGCATGATTACAAGTCCGTTGGGCGAAGAGAGGTAGACACAAGAGCCCTACTCAATGCTCATCCGGTTTGGATGAGTACTCATGGGCCCTCGGTGGATGATTTGCGTCTTGCTTCGCTGCAGGTTGCCAGTCGAGTTTTTCGCGACTAGCGAACTGTCAGCTCTGAAGTAGAGTAAAATGAATAATGAACATACTTTGGTTCTTTAGCCCTCGTCCGAAGGCATTCATTACGAGGCCGGCGAATATGACTGTTCCAATGAGGAGAATGATCGCAATCACCGCTTGAGTGAATGTTAGCCAGTACGGTCAATTTCGTACTTCGTATGATACTTACAAAACGTCGTCAAAGTCTTCCAGACTTCGAAGAACGTATCTGTGTCTTTCAACCTGAGGACCTTCACCAGCTACAACACGAGTCAGTATGACGAGTGTCGTTGACATGCAGTATGACAAACCTTATACATGAAGTACACCATGGCGGCTGCACAGCCAGTCATGAAGGTGATCATCATATACTTGTTCTCATGCCTTGCCGCAAGATGGCCCTCAATGAGAACTACGATCGACAATGGCAATGCCGCATATGTCAAGTAATACTCGGCATTGTGTGCGCTCAGGACGAGCCAGATGAATTGGACGGAAAAGCCGATCCAAAAGAATAGGTCGAACTTGACCAGACAAAGAAAAATCTGGTAATTCGCGTACATCGTCTTGATGCGGCGGTCGGCTCCAAGGAATTTGTAGACTTTCCAGCCAAATTCTGTGTAGATCTTCCAGCCGAGAGCGATGTATGCCAATTCAGCGACGGCAATGACGATAGGAATAATGGTAGTGAGAATCTTGATGGGTATGTCGGAAAACCCAGGTGTATTCAGGGGAATGAGTTCTTTGATTTCGCTGATCTGAATGATGGCATAAACCAAGAAGAGCGCGTTAAATACCCTGTACGCAGGTTGTGAGCTGTACCGAATAAGATAACAGCCAGCGAAACTTACGCCAAGAAGATGAATTGCAAAGTGTTCCGTGCATATACGGC